AGTCCACTCTGGCAAGACAGTCTGCAGGCAGTAGGTCTCAGCCTGCATTACCAGTGGAGCTGGTTAGAAACTTGCCCTGGAACGGCAGAATTGACCCTGCGCCTCCATGGACAGCTGTGAGTCCAAAACATGACTCCCAAGGCTGCCACAACCTGGTCCTTCAGTGGGCAGTTACGCCCATTCAGGGACCCAAAGGAGTATCCACCGTAGACCTTTAAATAAACTTAGGTCCACCTAATGTTCTGTTTTCCAAATTTTATGTATGGCGTCCCCCGCTGTCCTTACATGCGTTTGTGTTTCAACACCCTGTGTTTCAGATTTGTTGTTTTTTCTTTTTTGATTGCATGCCACCACAGAAGAACTTTATGTTATGACAGAGGTGAGGCTGTTTCAGCCAAGCTTGCACTCACAGGCCAAGGCAGGGATTTGACAACAAATGGCATACAATGTGGGAATGAACAATTGCAGTGATCCAGCACGCACGGCAACTGTGATCAAAGATCAGCTGGAAGGAGCTGGGGGGAACTGGCTTCCGTTAAGTGCTTGATGTTGTGATCCTTAGCCATTAGGACTTTTCTCCAGCTCAAACTGAAACTGAACCAGTTGTTTCGTGCATTTGGTTTTGCGTTATTTTGCTCAAGATGTCAACAGTAAAGGTAAAGGTACCCCTGCCCGTACGGGCCAGTCGTGTCCGACTCTAGGGCTGCGTGCTCATCTCGCTTAAGAGGCCGGAGCCAGCGCTGTCCGAAGGACACTTCCGGGTCACGTGGCCAGTGTGACAAAGCTGCTCTGGCAAGCCAGCACCAGCGCCGCACATGGAAACGCCGTTTACCTTCCTGCTATAAAGCGGTACCTATTTATCTACTTGCACTTAAGGGTGCTTTCGAACTGCTAGGTGGGCAGGAGCTGGGACCGAAAGACGGGAGCTCACCCCGCCGCGGGGATTCGAACCGCCGACCTTACAATCGGCAAGTCCTAGGCACTGAGGTTTTACCCACAGCGCCACCTGCGTCCCTTCCTTGTTGACAAGATGACAACAAGGAAGACTTAAAATGGCTAACACAAACAGCTCTTTGCTCTTTATACAGATATTTTATTTCACTTGAAAGGGACAGAGATACATAATATACATTTACCAATAAAATCCACGCATAAATGCAAACATCAGAAAAATAACAGCATAAATTTCTGAAAATATGTTTTCTATCAAAAGGATGAAGGTATCAAGGTGAAACTTCAATATTGCTTTTAGCAAAATATCCAAGTTACAAGTGAACTGGTCTTCATGATGATTCAAAATGCAGCATCTAAAAACTGGAAACTACCCTGGATCACAATTGACTTCTATGAAGTATTAAGCCAGCCAATGATCTGAACATTTCAGTGTGCGGGTGTGTGTTTGTGTGTGTGTCACAACAACATTGGAGTTTAAGTGTTGTCAATACCTCACACTTTACACTTTTTGAGAATGAAATCTTTTTTTAAATGCATAAACTTTATCTCATTCAGAATGATAAATATATATTGCCTGAAACAAAATCTGCAATTTTAAAAAATTCTACACCACACCTAAAGTATTTAATTTCAATTTGCGACCCTCTGAAGCCAGCGCACGTACTCAGGTACTGGCAAAACTCGGGTGCAGTGATTTCACTCTTGCCAACCTAGAGAGGCCAAGCCTGAGACCTTGCGTGGGCGATTTCCCGTGGGTTCTTCCCAGCTGCATGGCACTGCTTCCAGATGTAGCTGAAAAGATTGTTGGAGAGGTACATTAAGAAAAATAAGTAGACTAGAATATTGTATTCATGCTTTACTGGCTGCGTAGCAGTAAACTCATCTCTTGCACATACTCGTCTTCAAGCTCATTTTATCTCTTTAGAGGCTTCAGAAGAAATATTTAGAGAAGAATTCAACACCATGTTTTGCAAATTGTTCCGTCAGTCCAAGCTTTCCAGCTTGCACAACAGAACCATTTCCCCTCTCATCCCTGAGTACTGTTTGGGGGGTTCTCCAGTCCTCATCAGAGCCAATTTTGGGGGTGAAGGAAGAGATGGAGGAATTGTTGAGCTAGCTCCCACTAGCGCATCTTCTTAGTTAAATCCGGCCCTTAACCATACAAATGTAAGAGGGCTGTAAACTTTAAAGGACTCTTTGCATGACAACAAGTCCTCCTCAAATATATCCAGTCTCCTATTAAGTGGCAACCTCACTTAAAAAGTCTGAGTCTCAAAACAGTGGGAGACGGGGAAATATGTCGGGTAACCCATGGTTCAAGTAATCTGCAAGATGCAAGAAACTCCAGTGAAAGAAATAGTGGACAAACTGAACCAAGTAGCATTAAACACTACATAACGCAGAATTTCTAGTACACAGAGGGGTATTTCTGTTGTTGTCAGATCATCTCCAGTTTGTGCCAATGTTTCCATTTTGTCTCTGAGATTCCACCTTGTCTATTAGCTGTCAAGGTGAAATGGGGAGGGGGGAAGGTATCCTTGAACTCATTTATTCTGGGATATGGAACTCTAAAGCATCCTAAAGCCAACCTCCTCTCCATCCCAAGGCAAGTCCTTGGCAATACAGTGGTACCTCTGGTTGCGTAAGGGATCCGTTCTGGAGCTCCGGTCGGATCCCGAGGTTTCCACAACCGGAGGGACTGCTTCTGCGCATGCGGCGGTAGACCGCTTCTGCGCACGCGTGAATGGCAACACCAGGAAAAATACTTCTGGGTTTGCCACGTACGTATCCCGAAGGATAAGTAACCGGAGGTGAATGTAAGTAGAGGTACCATTGGAATGAGTCCTGTGTCCTTTTACAACCTCCCACTTAGCACTAAATACATCCATCCAGCATCTATCATGCCTTTTTGAAAAATAGCCTTGGCATCTCCCTTTTCCTTTCCACAGAAAACCTCTTTCAGCAGACACCCTGGCTTTTGTCTTCTAATACCGTATAACTGTTTTCATCCTTGACTTAAGTGTGCTTTTTTGGAGAATGGTCATCTGGAACCCACATTGTTCTCTCTTGAAGCTTCCAGTACAATGCTCATGCTGAACCTCAACCCCTGCAGTTCTGCTCAGTGAAACCTCTACTAATATCTGGAAAGGCTTGATATTTTTTCTGGGGGGGGGGTTGTGTGCAGTCCAGTAGAAGCCCCAGCCTGGTGCCCATTCTTGCACCGCTGCATCCCATGAGCCTGCCAAATGAAAGCTCTAGAATGGCATGGGGAGGCAGATCCTCCCTGCCGTTGGCACCTACTGCCCAGCCACAAGCATCCATCTTCCCCTTCCTTCCTCCATGTGTCTCAGCAAACTCTAGAGCAGGGGTGGCCAACTCCCAAGAGACTGCGATCTACTCACTGAGTTAAAAGACTGGAATAATAATAATAATAATAATAATAATAATAATAATAATAATAATAATAATAATTTATTATTTATACCCCGCTCATCTGGCTGGGCTTCCCCAGCCACTCTGGGCGGCTTCCAAAAGAATATTAAAATACTATAATACATCAAACATTAAAAGCTTCCCGAAACAGGGCTGCCTTAAGATGTCTTCTGAGTGTCAGGTAGTTATTTATCACTTTGACATCTGGTGGGAGGGCGTTCCACAGGGCGGGTGCCACTACCGAGAAGGCCCTCTGCCTGGTTCCCTGTAACTTGGCTTCTCGCAGTGAGGGAACCGCCAGAAGGCCCTCGGTGCTGGACCTCAGTGTCCGGGCTGAACGATGGGGGTGGAGACGCTCCTTCAGGCCATTTAGGGCTTTAAAGGTCAGCACCAACACTTTGAATTGTGCTCGGAAACGTACTGGGAGCCAATGTAGGTCTTTCAAGACCGGTGTTATGTGGTCTCTGCGGCTGCTCCCAGTCACCAGTCTAGCTGCCGCGTTCTGGATTAGTTGTAGTTTCCGGGTCACCTTCAAAGGTAGCCCCACGTAGAGCGCATTGCAGTAATCCAAGCGGGAGATAACCAGAGCATGTACCACTCTGGCGAGGCAGTCCGCAGGCAGATAGGGTCTCAGCCTGCGTACCAGATGGAGCTGGTAAACAGCTGCCCTGGACACAGATTTGACCTGTGCCTCCATGGACAGCTGTGAGTCCAAAATGACTCCCAGGCTGCGCACCTGGTCCTTCAGGGGCACAGTTACCCCATTCAGGACCAGGGAATCCTCCACACCTGCCCGCCTCCTGTCCCCCAAAAACAGTACTTCTGTCTTGTCAGGATTCAACCTCAATCTGTTAGCCACCATCCAACCTCCAACCGCCTCCAGGCAGTGATCTACCCCCTTTTGGGGGGTTCAGGTCAAAGTTGTTGAGAAAGGAGGAAGGCCCGTTTGGGGTGCAAGGCAAAAATATTGAGGGGTTTTTTAGGAGAGCCAAACTACTTGAGCGTCTTTGGGGGGAGCCAGTGATCTGCCAGTGATCTGCCACAGACGTCCAGTGATCTACCGGTAGATCACTATCTACCTGTTGGACGTGCCTGCTCTAGAGCAAGTAAACTCTTGTTTTGACTTGTGCCTCCTGCCTGATCTTGCAGGTCACTTTCTTCCTTTCTTCTCTTCCTTGCTTCGGAGAGAGCATGTGCCACAATGCAGCTGTGCAACTTCAGCTCACGACTGCTCTTTCTCCCTCCCCTTGTGGGTAACTTAACTATGCAGTTTGTGTCTCTTAATGCCTTTTAATAAACCCACTCTTCTGGGTCAATTACCCAAAGTCTCAGTTCCATTTTCCTTCCAAGAAACTTTAGGATGACAATTCAAAGACTCAAATGTTTTTGAGGACGGGGGCGTGCAGGTGTGGAGGACTCCCTGGTCCTGAATGGGGTAACTGTGCCCCTGAAGGACCAGGTGCGCAGCCTGGGAGTCAATTTGGACTCATGTGGAGGCGCAGGTCAATTCTGTGTCCAGGGCAGCTGTCTACCAGCTCCACCTGGTACGCAGGCTGAGACCCTACCTGCTCTCAGACTGTCTTGCCAGAGTGGTGCAAGCTCTGGTTATCTCTCGCTTGGACTACTGCAATGCGCTCTATGTGGGGCTACCTTTGAAGGTGACCCGGAAACTACAATTCATCCAGAATGCGGCAGCTAGACTGGTGACTGGGAGTGGCCGGCGGGACCACATAACACCAGTCCTGAAAGATCTACATTGGCTCCCAGTACATTTCAGAGCACAATTCAAAGTGTTGGTGCTGACCTTGAAAGCCCTAAATGGCCTCGGTCCAGTATACCTGAAAGAGCGTCTCCACCTCCATTGTTCAGCCCAGACACTGAGGTCCAGCTCCGAGGTCCTTCTGGCGGTTTCCTCACTGTGAGAATTAAGGTTATAGGGAACCAGGCACAGGGCCTTCTCAGTAGTGGCGCCCGCCCTGTGGAACACCCTCCCATCAGATGTCAAAGAAATAAGCAACTATCTGACTTTTAGAAGACATCTGAAGGCAACCTTGTTTAGGGAAGTTTTTAATGTTTGATGTTTTATTGTGTTTTTAATATTCTGTTGGGAGCCTCCCAGAATGGCTGGGGAAATCCAGCCAAATGGGCGGGGTATAAATAATAAATTGTTGTTGTTGTGTTATCCACACCACACTCCTTTTAATGCAGCAAATTGTCCTAGGCCAGCAGCCTGTATTCTGAGAGAAATAGAGCCAGAGGCTACTGAGGGAAAAAGGTTAACCTGAGAGACCAGATTAATATATTTTTCATTATCCATGGTTCCTGAGGGGCTTTACCTGAACATAGAAAATAGATGGAGTTAATGATTATATTTTTATCCTGGTTTTCAGACAATGATTTTGCATGGATATAGGTATCCTAAGCAACCATATAAACAGTGTATGCATTGAATATACCTGGTGACGTGCAGTTAGGCTTCTTGGCCAAAGAAGGGCTAGATGCTGTCAACGGCTGTCCAATCTGTTCTAGAGAACTTTTTTTTTTTTTATATAAATTTTTTATTGCGTTTCTTTCCATAACTTCGTACAATCCAAACAACACAAATGCATTAAATACAAGAAACAATTTTTCTTTTCTTTTTCAACAAAAAACAAAATAAAAACCAAGCAAAAAAAATATATATAAACCATTCCCTGTTTGGACTTCCCCACACCCTCCGGAACTGCGTTCTTTAAATTTAATAATGTCAGCAATTTGTTACCTTATTTCATACCTTATTGTAACTTTCAATTGTTATGCATCCAAATTCAATATATTGTATCTTAATTTCAATACTTTTAAAATAAACATAACATGCTCATTTCAAATTGTCTCCTTTTCTCTTTTATCACTTATTTTAGCATTTACTTAATCATATTTGCCAAAGCATAGCATTTCTCAGTCATGCACTAACTTAGGATTCATACAGCTTGTAATGTTTTTGCAAATAGTCTTTGAATTTTCTCCAGTCCCCCTCAATCGTTTCTTCATCCAAATCTCGGATTCTGCCGGTCAGTTCAGCTAATTCCATGTAGGCCATCAACTGCATCTGCCATTCCTCCAGCGTGGGTAAATCTTGTGTCTTCCAGTTCTTTGCGATGAGTATTCTTGCTGCTGTGCTAGCATACATAAACAAGGTTCTATCCTTCTTTGACATTTTCTGGTCCACCATACCCAGCAGGAAGGCCTCTGGTTTCTTAGGAAAGGTATACCTAAATACCTTTTTCAATTAGTTATGTATCATTTCCCAGAAGGCATTCACTTTTGGGCAGGTCCACCAGAGATGGAAAAATGTCCCTTCTGCCTCCTTACATTTCCAGCATTTGTTGTCAGACAGGTGATATATTTTAGCTAGCTTGACTGGGGTCATGTACCACCGGTATATCATTTTCATAATGTTTTCCTTCAAGGCACTACATGCCGTGAATTTCATTCCGGTGTTCCATAACCTTTCCCAGTCTTCAAACATAATGTTGTGTCCAACATCCTGTGCCCATTTTATCATGGCAGATTTAACTACCTCATCCTGTGTATTCCATTTAAGCAGCAAGTTATACATTCTCGATAAAGTTTTGGTCTTTGGTTCTAGCAATTCTGTCTCTAGTTTCGATTTTTCCACCTGGAAACCCACCTTTTTATCCATTTTAAAAACCTCTTGAATTTGAGCATAATGTAACCAGTCTCGCACCTTGTTTTTTAATTTGTCCAGGCTCTGCAACTTCCAATTGTCTCCAATTTTTTCGATTAATTCCCAATATTTCGGCCAATAGGCCTCCATATTGAGTCTTTTTCGAGCCTTGGCCTCCACCGGTGATAGCCACCTCGGTGTTTTGCTCTCTAATAAGTCTTTGTATTTCATCCAGACTGCAAAAATTGCTTTTCTGACAATGTGGTTTTGAACAATTTATGAACTTTAGCCTTGTCATACCATAGATATGCATGCCAGCCAAAGGCATTATCAAAACCTTCCAGATCTAGGACATCAGTATTTTCCAACAAAAACCAATCTTTCAGCCAGCAGAAGGCTGCAGCTTCATAGTACAACCTTAAGTCCGGCAGGGCAAACCCCCCTCTTTCTTTCGAATCAGTTAATATTTTAAACTTTATTCGGGGCTTTTTGCCCTGCCAGACAAACCTAGATATGTCCTTCTGCCACTTTCCAAAACATTCCACTCTGTCCACGATCTGCAAGGTTTGAAACAAGAACAGCATTTTCGGCAATACATTCATTTTTATAGCAGCGATTCTTCCCAACAAGGAAAGTTTCAATCTTGACCAAATTTCTAGATCTTTTTTAACTTCCAACCAGCATTTCTCATAATTATCTTTAAATAAATTCAAATTTTTGGAAGACAAATGAATCCCTAGATATTTCACTTTTTTGACCACATTTAATTCTGTTTCTCTCTGAAATCCCTCTGTTTCTGTAGGTGTCAAATTTTTAGTCAGAACCTTAGTTTTTGTTTGTTCAGTTTAAACCCCGCCACTCGACCAAACTCAGATATAAGTTCGAGAACTCTTTTTGTACTAGGTTCTGGCTCCTGCAGTGTCAAAACTAAATCATCTGCAAAAGCTTTCAGTTTGTATTGTTTCACTCCGACCTCTATCCCTTGTACCCTCCGGTCCTCCCTTATCATGTTCAATAGCACCTCCAGGACTGAGATGAATAAAAGAGGGGATAGAGGGCACCCCTGTCGTGTCCCTTTTTCAATTTTAAATTCCTCCGACACCACATTGTTACTATTAGTTTAGCTTTCTGCTCGGAATAAATTGCTTGTATTCCATTTTCAAACCCCCGTCCCACTCCCATCCCTTCCAAGTTTTTCTTCATAAACAACCAAGATATGTTGTCAAATGCTTTCTCCGCATCAATAAAAATTAACACCGCCCTTGTGTTCCTGTTGGTTTGCAAAAGCTCCAAAATGTCAATGATGTTCCTGGTATTCTCATATAAATGTCTACCAGGGAGAAAGCCAGCTTGGTCTTTATGAATTACTTCATTTAAGACCTTTTTAAGTCTGCTTGCCAGAATGTCTGCAAATATTTTGTAATCCACATTTAAGAGTGAGATGGGACGGTAGTTCTTAAGTTGGTTCTTTTCCGTTTCCACTTTCGGAATCAATGTGATGAAAGCTTCTTTCCACGACTCCGGTGTCTTCTTCCCCTCCATAATCTGGTTACATACCTCTAACAGAGGTTGTATCAAATAGTCCTTCAAAGTCTTATAGTATTTGGAGGTAAGTCCATCCGGGCCTGGAGATTTGCCTAGTTGCATATTCTGAATGGCACCTTCGATTTCCTGTGAGGTTATTGTTGAGTTCAAGATTGATCTTTTGTCTTGAGTTATCTTTGATAGTCCATTTGTCTTTAAAAATTGGTCTATCTCAGGTTCTTTCTGAGGCCCTTGTGCGTAGAGTTCTTTAAAATATCTGTGGAAGCACTTCCTGATTTCTTCTGGTTTCTGCACCGTTTTTCCATCAATCTCTAGATTTGTAACTGTATTTAACTTCTGTCTTTTCTTCAGCTGCCAAGCAAGCAGCTTTCCACACTTATTTGCTGATTCAAATGATCTTTGTTTCATCTGTTTGATTTTCCATTCAATCTCTTGGTTTATCAGTTTAGAATATTGTGCTTGATGGAATTTGATTTCTCTCAGCACCTCCTTTGACTTTGGTTTGGTTCTCAATTTTTTCTCTCCTTGATGTATTTTCTCCAATATTTTATCCTTCTTTCCATTCCAGAGCTTTTTCTTAATTGTATTTTGTTGAATCAGAAACCCTCTCATAACGGCTTTGCTTGCGTCCCAGATCGTTCTTTTTTCTACTGTAGTATTCAAATTTATCTCAAAATAGTCCTTTAATGTTTTTTGGGCCTTTTTCACAATCTCTTGATCTCTTAGTAAGGCGTCATTCATTCTCCATCTGAAGGAACCGGGTTGAGTTAGTCTGAGTTCTACTTTCAAGGCGTTGTGGTCGGAGCATGTTCTTGGGCAGATTTCCACCTTTCTGGTCTTAGGTGCCAGCCCTCTAGACGTCCAGATTTGGTCGATCCGTGTCCAAGACAGGTGGACCTCAGAGAAGAAAGTTCCTTCTTTACCTAGGGGGTTCTTTGTCCTCCATATGTCGATCAAGTCCAAGTTATCAGTCAGTTCAAAAAAAGTTTTGGGCAGTCTGCCGTCTGATGTTAAGTTTTGACTTTGAGACTTGTCCATGTGTGTAGACACCACTCCATTCATATCTCCCATCATTATAATATTATTATAGTCCAGATAGTCCAGCAACATCTCATGCAGCTTCTTGAAAAATTCTGATTTCCCGTCGTTTGGGGCATATATTCCTAATATCAAAATTTTTTCTCCTTGTGTCTGGATTTCAATCGCCAAAATTCTTCCTTGTTCATCCTTAAATAGGAACTTTGGTGCCAGGCTCTCCTTAGCATAGATCACCACACCTCTTTTCTTAACTTTATCTGATGAGATAAATTCTTGGCCTAATCTTTTGTTGATCAAAACTTTCCTGTGGAGTCTGGTCACATGAGTTTCTTGTAGGCAAATGATATCCAATTGTTCTTTCTTCAATATGTGAAAAATCTTCCTTCTTTTCTCCGGGGAATTTCCGCCATTTATATTCCAGCTGAGTAGCTGCAGAGACATCTTGTACTAATTTGTTACAGCTAGAGTGGTGTATCTTCTTTGTCCTCTGGTCCCGAGGGTGTAGGCGTTGCTCCTCCTCCAGGGAGTATAGGCCCAGATTGAGGTAGAGGCCAATGTGCTGCTGCTTCTTTTTGGAGATCTTCACCGTGGTCGTGCTGGAACTTTTGTAAATCCTCTGGGGTTCTTATTTTAACCTTCTTCTGTTTGTAAGTAAATGATAGGCCTTGTGGAAATTCCCACCTATAAGGAATTGCGTTAAGCCTCAACAACTTCGCCAATTCTGAGTAGGTGGCTCTCAAGTCCAGTAGCTGTTTGGGTATATCTCTGTAAATTTCCACCCTTTTGTTTTGTATCTCCAGTGAATTTTTAAAGTGTAGGCCTAGTATTTTGTCTCTCTCTTCTCTTGATCTTAAGGCTATCAAACAGTCCCTGGATCTATCCTTTCTTACTAATCTTCCCAGTCGAAAAGCCGATACTATTTTAAAATCACTTTCTTCCTTTATGCCCCAGAACTTTGAAATTCTGTTGTCAAAAATCCAATCAGGCTTTCTTGCTCAATTTCTGGGATTGCTCTTAATCTAAGATTGGTCTCGCGATTTTTCAGTTCCACCAAAGAGAGATAGGCTTGCTGGTCCCCAATCTGTTTATGCAGAGGCTTAACTTCTGCTTTGACTTCCTCGACCTCTTTCTTGGCAGACGTTGCTATTTGAATGGCTTCCCCAGCCAATTTCCGATTCTCCTCTGTTGCTCCTTGCAATTTTTCAATTGCTTGTGTGTGTTGGGAAACCTGATCCGTCAATTTCTGGATCGAGGATGTAGCTTGGTCAATTTTTATTGATTGGTTA